GTATATATCACAATACAGTAATTGTCTTGTAAATTCAATTAGGAAATGGTTTATCGTACTTTAGCACATTAGATTATTTTATTATTTATTTGGAACCTCCAAACAAACAGTGCAACAGTCTGACTTCACGCCAGCTTAGTTCAAGAAAACATACAGAAACATGACTTTTATAACAAAACTCCCACACATTGTTTCTGAAATGCAAAATACGGTGTGCTTAGGCTAAAGACACTCTTCTGTGAAAAAGTATTTTAAAACCAGTGTTTTGATACTAAGACCTTAATGAGGCCGTGCAAAGCATAACCTTATGTAACTTATTTCCTCGACTATAAACTAAATAATGTAACCTTTATTTTGTGGTAAAATGAGGATGTTATTAGGATTGCTTTAGGAAATCAGTAGTGTCATAATTAAATGGAAAATGTTAAGAAAAAAAGAAAATCAATCAAAAGTACACTATAATAATAGGTCACACAACAGTAAAGAATTATTCTTACTAGTACTATAGAGGGTTTATTACAGTAACCTATGGAGATTTCCCAATCTGAGTCCTTTAATATTAAATATTTGTCTGATCAAATACTTCTATTTACCTAAATGATCGTTGAATATGTATGGCACATTGAAATAACAGATGTAGCCTATTCATCTGTAGTAGCTCATTTTCATGAGCTACTTGATCCAAATACTGAAGGTCCAGGTTAAAAAATATTAAATCTAAGCTTAACTTATTGATATGATATGGATAACAATAATATGGATATGAAAAAATATCAATTGGAGAACTGGCTCCTGAAATGAACATGACGTGATCAGCTAGAGAGAAGACATATTACTCCGTTGGAGTTGTGGAACTACAAAAACATTCATCCCACACACAATTACACAGTGGTGTAACAGAGCGAAAGCTCTTCACACACAAACAATCTTTAGTCCAGTAACGACACCGGCTGCAGAGAACACTTTAACCAAACAACAGACAAGTTTAATTTTGGCCTGACAGTAAACAACCTCTACTTTTATTGATCCACGACAAAACTCACAGCAACTATATCAACTGTTTCATTCACTGTTGCAAACTTGTTATGCCATGTGTTTAACTGAATCACCACCTTGTCTTTTATACCTTACATTTAACTGTTTTGTTCCTTAAGCTACATTTTATTTATTAAATATCAGAGGCTATATAAATTACAGATTTTTTATGATTATTATACTACAACTACTACTAATATTAATCGGTGGTCTTGGGGTCCTCCACCTAAATATATGTGTTAAACACATGATTTCCTCCATTCTGGTGAATTTTTTTTTACCAATTTCTGCCTTTTCTGCATCAAGAAACTTCGAACGGCAGGTGGCAACTCAAAATCTAAAAATATACCAGAATATATTGCAGTAAGGCTCTCAGGCATTCTATATTGCTTTGAAATATGTATTCTCCTATAGATCAACTTTCTCATTTAATATCATCCCTGCTGAGTCCACACACATGTAAGCATGACTTACATGTGTGTTGAAGTGATGTCTTTAAATGTGCATGTGGCACCTAATCATGTCAATAATAAATTAGTTCATTTTGACTCATTTAGAAGCTCCTGTACTTTAAAAGCTCCTGTGTAAGTTTCCTGCTCATGTTCAAAATGTTCTTCACATTCAAAATCTATCCCACATCTCTGTGTTCTCTGACATGTCAAGAAAAAAGTTGTAATATTTTGAGAGAACAAGTCACAATATCTAATGAGAGTAAAGTCATAATATTTTAACAAAATTTACCTGCCCTATACTCTGCTGTGCATTAGCCTACGTTACTGCACTGCTGTTATGGTAGTATCCCTTTCTGTCGATTGGTACAGTCAATTAGGAATGTACCCTATGAGACGAGCGCACTGCCTTTCATCGGTGGTGGAAAACCAAAACTGAAAACACCTATAGTTAGACATATTTCTCACCACAAATCCACACAAATTTTATTTTCACCACTGCGGATAAAGTGCAGCTCACACCCGCTTCAGAGGGAAGCATCCTGTAGCAGAGAGACAGTCCCAAACAGAGCAAAGGTGTCTCTAAGCAGCGAAACAGAGCGACATTTGCGTGATGTTATTCTCTTGCTAATTTGCGGCTGACTGTTAACTGTTTCTGTAGCAAAATATACTGGCTTTATACTGATGGACAACAGTGGTTATATTTAAATGTTTTGATCAAAATTATTGCTAGGGACAATTCAGTAGTCACTGTCAAGCCCTGTGCGCTTTCTCGTAACGTTCAATCGGCTGCTTGGACAGACAACCCAACGATATCAGATTATTTTCCATGGCTTTGATGCATGATCAGAATGACAGACAAAGAGATCTGGGGCTTGTTTTTTAGTTGTTGTTTTTTTTGGACATCCGGGGCTGGGCTAATGACGCCTCTGGAGTACAGTAAAAAAAGAATTGGAATTTGATTGGTTCAGTCCCTCTCTAGTAACCTTGCATCCGTAACAGTGAGACCAGTGAATAATCATGGGCATTTGCATATCTCCACAGTGAAATTTAATAGTTTTCAAAAAACTTCTTAGTCAAGGATTCAGACAAGTATTTCACATTGTGTGCACTACACATACATAGGTATGGAAAATAAAGTAAATAATGCTGCTGATTCAATGTGGTTATTTTCAATGCAGGCAATTATACTGAGGTCAAAAAATACTGTATTATCTGGGTTCTTCATTGAAGCATTCAAAGCCATCTCATATGAGCCACTCAGCATGCAGTATGTTTAAAATGTATACTGATAAATGCATCTTTCCAATCAAAACAATAACGACTGGATTCCTACTCTACTTTAGTTTCAGGGACATGAAGGTATTGTCCTCAGCTGACAATAGAAGACTGACAGACGGATCAACACTCAGCAGTGAGAAATTTTAATGAAACCATTCTTGATGGTTTTGGCCAGGTGTAACGTCCATCTCTCTTATTCCAACTATACCCTCTCAGGTGCTGGTAAACAGTTCTCAGTTTGTAGCACAATTGAAATCACATAAAGAGAGAAAAAAAAGGATTTTATACAGTTTGCCAAGAACCACAGGAAATGTCCTATTGAAGATGTGTCTTTTTTTCGTATTGAAGGACCTGCATTCCCTCTCCCACTTGCACATATGTATTACTTGTGCAGAATTGCATAAGTCTGAGTGAAAAGTAACATTTTAAAACAGCATGTGCGACAAACCTGGTTTTGAAAAAAAATGTTTTGTTAATCAAAAACTGACACTTTGATGCTATTAACTGAAGTTCATGAACCTGAAAGGCTTCTTATTTACATTTTATAAATAAAGCTACTGATTCATTATGAGGAGAGAAGGACACTGACTAGAATATACACTTGCTAACAATATAACTGGCATGAACACACTGTAGCACCTTGATCTAAAACCATGCACCACGTGGAGTCCAATAAGTGGTACAGTGCACTGACATTTACAGACAGGTATGCATTCACGCATACATTTCACCACAAAACCACATTAGCGCCATCTTGTTCTATCTGGTCAGCATGCTGGTATACGAGTAAATTCACAGTGGCTCATTTAGAACAAGACTTCTGACTCGGTCTCTTAAGGGAGCCGGAATGAGCCAAGAGTAAACCCCCCTCCAGCCCCCCATAAAAAACAAAAAACAAAATGTACCGTAGTGAAGAAGAGGAGGGCCAAAATGTTTGAAAAGGAAAGATGTTTTTGTCTCAACTTTCTGAAAAATCTGCCTCTACAGTATCTTATTATTACGAGTAAATTCAGTGTTTTCCTTTTTACCCTCTATATGCTGCCCCTTGGTAGAATTATAAGGATATAAACATGCCGTAAACTTTCATTGCTATGCTGATGATACTCAGCTATATCTAGCGATCAGGCCAGATGATTCAAATCAGTTAGCCAAACTTCAAGTGTGCATACAAGTTACTCAGACAAAACTGAAGTTATTTTACTTCAGCTCAAACACCTTCGAGATGTATTGTCAAACGACATTGTTACTATGGATGGCATTGCCCGGGTCCCCAGTACCACCGTGAGGAACCTGGGAGTTATTTTTGATCAGGACATGTCCTTCAACCTGCATGTTACTCAAACTTCAAGAACTGCCTACTTTCATTTACACAACATTGCTAAAATCACAAACATCAAAACGCTGCAGAAAAACTGGTCCATGCCTTTATTACTTCCAGCCTTGACTATTGCAATTCTTTACTAGTGGGCAGCATAATAAAGCCTCTAAAGCCTCTCCAGCTGATCCAGAATGCAGCAGCACTTGTTCTGTCAAGAGTCAAGATCAGAGAGCATATTTCTCCTGTTCTAGCCTCCTTACACTGGCTCCCTGTGAAATATACAATAGATTTTAAAATTATTCTACTTACCTACAAAGCCTTAAATGGCAAGGCACCATCGTACCTCAAAGAACTCCTGATACCTTACTGCCCCAATAGAGCACTGCGCTCCCAAAATGCAGGGCTGCATGTGGTATCTCATGTAACTAAGGTTAGAGTGGGAGCAAGAGCATTTAGTTATCAAGCGCCTCAGGTCCCAATTTGGGTTTAGGAATCAGACAACATTACCACTTTTAAGGCTAGACTTAAGACTTTTCTGTTTAATAACGCTTTTAGTTAGTAAAGGATTGAGCAAGCTTTTAATTATTAAATCGTTTTATCATTTAATTTTGTTGGTTTTATTCTGATTGTATTTTATGTTCTGTTTTATTACATGCACTCTGTATTTAATGGTTTATTATTTTCATTTCATTTCAATGCATTTTGTAAAGTGTATTGGGACCATGTCTTTTGTTGATTTTGCAATTAAAAAACTTGACTTAAGAGTCATAGTGATTATTAATCATGGCATCAGTTGTCTATGTTTACACGTTTGACAGTGCTTGTCTGGAATATATTTCCTACAAGTTGAAGTGTCTGGGATATCAATTAATATGTATGTCAAACAGAGAAGAAAAAAAAAAGAACATCAAGCTTACCATCAAACTTTTTATGCCTCGAGACAAACGTCGTCCTCATATTGTGGCTGCTCTCCTCGACCAAATTCTCAAAATCCAGTTTGCTCTGTTGGTTGAGTTTGTCCTCCATCTCAGATGTGCAGCAGGTGTATCCCTGAGGACAGACACGCAGGTGTTCACCTGAGGGACACAAGAGACACAGAGCGCCGTTTTTACACACATCATTGCCACAGGATTCAGTTTTTCAAAAGGCTGAGCTGAGTCTTTGATCAAAACTCTCCTGTGATTTTGGGACTCTCATCACCAAAGCTATCAAAGAGGGACAGAGCGTGACAAATGGGGAAGGATAATATTTGTCGGTAACCTGCTATCATGTGAAACAGAGAGTAACTTTGATACAGCAGTGCATATATACCCCATGCAGGATTTTCTTTATATCACAGTCCCAAGCACTGCAATAACCACAAGTGAGCTCATCAGTATTCCATACATCACATGGTCACATCTAGTTTATTTCTATGCCAACATCCATCATTAAACCAGCATTAACTGATTTTTAGGCACAACAACTTGTAAACAAAATATTGACATTTTATCACCTTCTAAGCAAATGTATTAACAAAACAATTGCTTATTTACACATCCACCAGACACCAAGCAATGTCAGAATCCATTTAGAGTCGTGCTAATGGCCACCTGATGAACGCAAGTCCAATATTTTACTCTTCTTTTAGCTCTGATTTGGTATCCACCAACTCCTGAGAGAAATAGCTGGCTCTTTAGCTGCTAAACTAAACTCTTCAGTATGTTCACTAGCTCGTCGCAAAAACAACTGTCTGCCATGGCAGGAAACAATGCAGATGAGAGCGCTTATAGCAAAGCCAACCAGAAAAGTTGTGGGCCAAAAAAACAAAACAATGGGCTGAAAGATGCTACATAAAGCTTAAAGGAACTGCAGAGTTGGATGATGTTTTACCCCTTTCACATTGCACTCTAATTTGGTACATTGTTAATGCAAGAAAATATTGATTAGTGCAGGGTTAAGCAGGAATAGTTAAATTCTGAATAATTTGCTGATATCACAGCGTATGTACTCCAGTGCACCATTTATATAATAACAAGAATCTCAGTTTTAAGTTTTAATTTTTTTGCCTTATTCTTAGTTCTATCTGACCATGTAGTTAGTTTTTATTTTATTTGCTGAGGTTGTGGGATCTCCGCCACTGAGACTTAAGCTGTCAGCCCATTACAAATTAAACAATGTCAACAGCAGCAGCATCTCTTTTTGGAAACAATGTCCCTATTACTCAGGATAATCCACAGAACTCGCCTTGCTTACATCAGTAGAAAAGCAGTTCCCAATGAAAAGTGCCCATTATGAGCTCTAGGAATTGTCTCCACTAGCAAGGACACAGTTTGTGGAAAAGGTAGCTGCTGTTAAACATTTTTAAATGTAATATATTTATTGCTTTGTGAACTGCAAACCAAATTCCATCCATTGTACAGTGGTAGGTCGCATATTGATCAGTGGTGGTGATCACAAACCATCACTACTATTATCATCATGGCCAAGTACTCATTACTCCAATAAATAGACCCTTTAAGAAACTGAAAAATGCTAAGTATGTTATCTTGATATTATCATGTTTTACAGTGTCTGATTCTCGACTCTTTGAACACAATGTGGCGTTGAAGCTTCAGTTCAAAATATGTTATATGATATGAGACAGGAAGAGGCCAAGGTGAGGAAAGCATTTCAAAATCCCTTTGAATATCTCGTCTATACAAGTCGAGTATAGTATAGAATAAACACTTAGTAGTGTAGAAAAAAAGTGTGTATATCAGAGGTTAAACTTGAGCAAAGAACTGCTTGTATGATTCAGAAAAAGTAATATTGTATTATTATTCACCAGAGTACAACAGACATTAAGAAATTGAAAAATGTGGAACTACTCTTCTTTGGTTATAACCTTGCTTTCGTAAAGACAATAATCTACCTTATATATTCTAAAAGGAGGTGCTCACATATGTGGATTATTCTTGGTGTGTAAAGAGCCTACAGTAAGTGTGTGACAGGGCATGAAATACATAAAAGAAAGAGGAAAAAAGATTCTGAAGTTTGAAGTAATGAAAAATTCAGCTCTACAGCTATAATACACAGCATTGTCTGACAGAAACCGGCTTTACCCATCATTCATTTAACACAGTCTCTATCTCAGTGTGTACCTGTGTAAAGACTTACATCAAACAGAGAATCTGATTTGTGCAATGATTTGCACTGAGCAACCACTCACACACACACACACACCACCTACCCAACTTAGTCAAGACTAAATCTGCAAGGATGCTTGTGACAAAATGTCTAAATGAATAAAACTTTTACATGTTTTTGGTTTTATTTTTGCTGTAAATCTACTGTAGTCACCACCAATGGCTGTCATAGCGTCTTATTCTGTCCCCCCGGGTTAAGACAGGTATGCAAACCACAAGTACTGTCTCTCGTACTACACAAAAAACTTACAGTACATGGGTCATTTTTTTCCAATGAGTGTGTTAGTCCAAACTTACTAAGACATACCTGAAACGAGTTTTCAGGTATGCTTTATAACTTAAATTTACTGCTAAATTAAATACAAGTAAGCAAACAAAATATGTTGGAAAAATATAGCCCTGTGTTTCCACTGTGCCAGTAAACCCCCCCCCCCCCATGATGACAAAAGGATCATGTGATAATTATAACACATCCATCAATATATAAAATGTTTTTAAGTAAAACTTTTTCTGCAAAATAACTTTCAGATTTTAAAATGTTAATGTCAGACTGCAAATACAACCTCACGTCCAGTTTCTTTTGTGGCCGTCTTTAGTGGCTTTCAGTGATTTTGTGCACAGGAATGTGTGAATTCACAAATAAATTGACTTTAAAAGCTTTAAAAAAAAAGGCCAACTCTACAACTAAATGCGACAAAAACTGGACCATTAACAAATCATTAACAGCTGCCACAGATATTAGAAAATGCCCCTGAGTAAGAATCCAAAATTAATCAAGGTCAGAGAAAGACGGGCAGACAGACAGACAGACACACAGAAGCACTTGAGGGCTCCAACATGGACTACTTGTCAACGAGAAGAGATGCATAAACAACAAGCAAACAAATAAAACATTAAGGTTGTGGTTGCCGTGAAAACACTGAAAGTCATAATGTGTACTTTGAACTGTTTGTCTTCCTGGGTAGCAACATCTACGGAACTGGCAAAGTTGTTGCTTCAGAAGACAGCAGTTGCGCAAATTCTTTGGAAAATAATTGCCAATCTTCAACTGGTTACTGATACGTACAAATATAGCGATTTTAGAAGCGCCACTTTCCCTACATACTTGCTTTATTACCTCTCCTCTGCTGCACTACATCTGAGAGCATCAGACATCATTATAAGAGGTTTAAAAAAAAAAAAGTCTGGCCCGCAGTCACTTGAAAGAGTAAAATGAGATGGCTGTCGCTGTACCAGCGGTGGACTGATGCAGAATAGACGGAGATTGTGGGACTTTTCTGATGGATACTACTATACAGTGTGGGCACTGGCAGGCACACCAGTGTTCTGCATGCATATACACTAAGCTATAGATGAAGGAGCTGTGCATGGATAATGAAACAAGGAGAATGCAGCAATGTACGTGCTGGCACTCTCAAATGTGTTTAAGCCTCCCATCCGTCCTTAATCAGTCCATAGAAATGCACTGAGCTACAGTAATGAGGTACACCATCAACAGTTCAACACAAACCCATTGTCTCCAGAGTAATGCATAGGACTCCTGGCCATAAAGACAAAACTCTTCAAAACAACAAAATAGGGCAGAATGCAACATTCGATTTCTATTTGGTGATTCTTTCAGGGTCTTTTGTTTCTCTATTAAACGACAATGTTGTAATCTTTTAGCAATGTATCAGCAACTGTCACACATGATCTGCTCTATGTGGAGATGCAACACTGTGCAATGTTTATTCCAAGCAGTAATCAAGATAACACATTTGTAGAGAAAACTACGTTGTGCAGGGTACAGAGCTTAAGGTGAATGTACAGTAGTACAGTGGTATTTTTTTATTTACTTGTTTTTCCATAATTTTATTTTTACTGTTTTCTTTATATAAATCTCTGCTGTTTCTCTTTTAATGCCACTGTTTGTGTTGTATCAGTTTTGCAGTACAGTCTCATTAAAGTATCAGCATAGAGCAACATGGCCAATCACATATTGTTTTTGGAGGAAGATGTTTACATTGAGGAGTCAAGGGATTATTAAGGCTGACTTGGGGTCAGTTTCAACTGGCATGCGTCAGCTGGTTGGCAAATGTCAAAGAAAGCACCTAATTTCAGCCTTGTGGACCATGCTTCTCATGAACTAAGACTGCAGTGTTTGAAACAATGCCCAAGTAAGAGTTTGGCACAAGAGTATATGGTTTACTGTCACAATGATGGATAACATAAGACAAATGACATTTTCTCGCTGCATTAAGAAACCCTGCAACTCTGAAAGTCCATATCAATTCGAAGTTTTCAATGATGCAATAAATTGACTTAACTTGTCAAAGTAGGTAGAATATCACTGTTGGTGACTAAAGGCTTGCAAAAAAAAGAGAAAATCAATAAAAGACAGAACCGTCCTTAAGTGGAAATGACAGCAGAAAGGAAGCTCTGGTGCTTTTAGTTTTCATAGGTTGTGCACCACTCTTTTCATATTTCTCTCTTGTTTTTGTATAAACACATAATTTGACATATCCAGCTGCTTTCACCACTTTGAAAACGGTGATGCTGCTGTTTTATAAACCAGCATAAAATAGGACTTTGAGAGCAGCAGACAGAGTGTGAGCTGCATGTTTATGTGACTGTTGTGAATTTGTCACATGTTATTCCTTCTCTCCTTTTTCTCACTTTTGTCTTTTTTTTTGTTGTTCGGGCTGCTTTCCATAAAACAGATACAAAAACCAACAGCAGCATATAAATAGCTGTAATGCCAAACTAATACAGAACAAAAATATTCAACATTTTTACACATAAAACTTTCCCGTACATCTTCACGCTGTGTTTATACATCCTGTGCTCTGTTTCAAAAGAACAAAACAAATACAAATGCCTACCTTGGTGAACTTGGGGAATAATCTAGATGGGATTTTGGCTCACTAGAC